CAAAAAAACAAAGCCAGGTGTGGTGGTGCACATCTGTAATCCTAGCACTCAGGAAGCTGAGGCAGGAGGATTCCCATCAGTTCAAGGCCAGCCTGGGCTACATTGTGAGAGTTCAAGGCCAGCCTGGACTACACAGTAAGACCCTGTCTCAAAAGAAAAAAAATCCACTGAATGAAGCTGGATATTGTGGTGCATGTCTGTAATCCCAGTACTCTAGAATGTTGAGGCAGGAGAGATGCAATTTCAAGTTGATCCTGGGCAACTTAGCGAGATCCTGTCTCAAAATTTTACAAAAGGGCTGGAGGAAACCAAAATGGTAGAGTATCAATCAGCAGCAAAATTCAGCCTCTCTGAGACCCAGAATCCAGACACCTGGAAAACAACAACTTGATGAAGAGGGAAAAAGAAGTGGCTCTCTGGGAATCAGGAACTGACAGGAAAATTAGAAACTACAGTTGAAAAAATAGACTACAAGGCAGAGAAAAGAATGAAGTAGTCTGGAAGCATACCCTGGGTCCAAGGAAGGGGAACCTGTCTCTACAGTCACATGGTAAGCCCTCAGGTTCAGGAACTCCAGGGAGAAACAACAGATTAGGCTGGCAGTGCTAGCACCAAGAAAAGCCCACAGCTCTTGTAAGCTACCAAAACAGCAGGATTTTACTCTGAAGTGATGGCAGGCAACAGCTGGAGAAGAAATTCAGTACAGTGCTGCCATATTGCTAGAGAGTGTTTAAATTAGGCACCACTTTGGGAATGGGCTGATTATTTAAGACTGAGACTAAAAATGATGAAAAAAAACTTCACTTCAGGCTTCCTACTGTAATCCTCCCACAGTGACTGGGGGAGAGATGGTCACGGGAGTCATGGAGAGGGTGCAGGCTAGGCATAGACATCCTGATAAGTTTAAGCTAGCCCATAAAGCATGCTTAAGTAAATGCCAAAGAATGAAAAATATCCCATGCAAATTATTAGAGCATAGTGGAATGAAACTAGAAGTCAATAGCAAAACCTCCCACAAATATTATGCAAATAGATAGAAATTAAATAATATTCTCTTGAATAATAAATGAATCACAGAAGAAATCAAGGAAGAAATTAGACATTTTTTGAATCAAATGATAATGCCAGTACAACACACCAGAACTTATGGGACACAATGAAAGCAGTCCTACGAAGCAAGTTTATAGCTGTAAATGCCCACAATAGAAAAACAGAGCAAGCCCAAATATATAACTTAATGATCATCTCAAAGTCCTAGAAAAACAAGAACAATCAAATCCAAAGCTAGTACAAGGAAGGAAATTTTAAGGATTGGAGAAGAAATCAATACTAACAAATACTACAAAGAATCAACATATCAAAGAAGTGGTTCTTTGAAAGGATAAACAAAATAGACAAACCTCTAACCAATCTTGGCAAAAAGGGGAAAGAAAAGACCCAAATAAATGCAAATAGAAATGAAAAAGACAAAATCATTCTGAAATCTTGATCATGATCACTAGTAACTACTTTGTGAACTTGTATTCTAATAAATTGGAGAATTCAGAAGAAATGGATAGATTCCTAAATGGGTAAGAATTACCAAAAGTGAACCAAGAAGATATAAAAAGTTGAAGCAGGAAAAAAGAAAAACTGTAAAAGGTCCAGGTCCTAATGAATTCACTACTGAATTCTACAAGAACTTTAGGAAAGCTCTAACATCAATACTCCCCAAACTCCTCAATGACATTGAAAAAGAAGGAGTACTTCCAAAGCTATCCCTGGAAGCTAGCATTACCCTGATTCCAAAACCAGATAAGGATTCAACCAAAAGAGAGACATACAGGCAAATGTCTTTAATGAACATTGATGCAAGAATTTTCAACAAGATACCGGTAGACAGAATGCAACAAATCATAAAAAAGATCACACATCTTGACCAAGTAGGATTCATCCCAGGCATATAGGGGTGATTCAACATATGCAAATCAAAATGTAATATATCACATAAACAGAAGCAAGAACAAAAATAATATGATTATCTCAATAGATGAAGAAAACACCTTTGACAAAATCCAACACCCATTCATGATAAAAACTCTGAAAAAAACAGTTATATAATGGCCTTATCTCAATCTCATAAAAGCCACTTATGACAAATCTACTGCCAACACCATATTAATTGGGGAAAAACTGAACACATTCCCACTAAAATCAGGAACAAGACGAGGATTTCCATTCTTACTACTCTTGTTCAATATATTCAAAACTTTAATTAGAGTAATCTTGCAAGAAAGAGAAATAAAAGGGGTACATATAAGAAATAAGTCAAAGAATCCTTATTCACAGACAACACGATATTTTACAAAGAATGCCCAAAAAATTCCACCAAAAGATTCCAAGAACTAATAAACAAATTCAGCAAGGTAGCAGAATACAAAAGCAACTCACAAAAATCAGTAGCATTCCTGTAAATCAATAATAAAACCACTGTGAAGGAAATTGAGAAAATAATACCACTCATTATCCTCAAGAAAATTACGTACATAGGAATAAACCTAACAAAGGAAGTGAAAGACCTCTACAATGAAAACTAAAGTATTCTGAAAAAGGAGATTGAAGAGGGCATCAGAAAATGGAAATATATCCCATTTCTGGAGACACAAAACCAATATTTTCAAAATGGTCATACTTCCAAAACTGATATACAGATTTAATTCAATCTCAATCAAAATACTGTACCTGCAGTATTCTTCACAGAACTAGAGAAAACAATCCTAAAATTTATATGGAACCAGAAGAGACCCAGAATAGCAAAAGCAAGTCTGGGCAACAAGAGCAAAGCAGGAAGCATCACGATACCTGACTTTAAATTATACTACGGCATACTGACAAAACACACCTCTCTCCCTCCCTCCCTCCCTCCCTCCCTCCCTCTCTCTCTCTCTCTCTCTCACACACACACACACACACACACACACACACACGGATCTGTGGAAAAGAGTAGAGGATGCAGAAACAACTCCAGTCACATTCAGCTATCTGATTTTTGATAAAGGGGGCAAAAACATATCCTGAAAGAAAGATAGCCTCTTTAACAGATGGTGCCGGGAAAACTGGCTATTCACATGCAGAAAATGGAATCTAGATCCATTGCTCTCACCATGTACTAAATTAACTTCAAAATCGATCAAAGATCTAAATCTTAAAACAGAAACAATCTGTTAAAGATAAAATAGGTAAAACCCTTCATGACATAGTCCTAGACAAGGACTTTCTCAATATAACTTCAATTGCATAAGAAATAATACCAAGAATTAACAAATGGGATCATATCAAATTAAAATTTCTGCACAGCAAAGGAAACAACCAAAAGAGTACAGAGACAACCTACAGAATGAGAAATGATTTTGTCAACTATTCTTTCGACAGAAGACTAATATCTAGAATATATAAAGAACTAAGAAAAATTATAAGGAACTAAGAAAAATCCCCCCAATGAAAGAACCAATCAAAAAATGGGCCACTGAAATGAACAGAAATTTCTCAGAAGTACAAATGATAAATAAATACATGAAATATTCATCATCTCTGACCATTTGAGAAATACAAATTAAATCAATACTGAGATTTCATCTTAATCCAGTAAGAATGGCTATCATCAAGAAAACAAATAATAACACATGCTGGCAAGCCTGTGGGGAAAAATGATTCTTCTGCATTGTTGGTGGGAACGTAAACTAGTACAACCACTGTGGAACTTATGGAGATTCCTCAAAAAATTAAAAGTAGAAATTCTACTCACACCAGCTAATGCCTTTCTAGGTATCATCCTGAAAGAGCTAAAGATATATTACAGTGATACATGCATACTCACGTTGATAGCAGCACAATTCATAATAGCTAAGTCATGGAATAGGCCTGTATGTTCATCAGCAGATGAATGAATAAAGAAGTTGTGGTTTCTATACACAATGGATGTACCTTGAATCCCTAAGTGAACTAAATCAGACACACAATATCGCATGGTTTTTCTTTATAAAAAAACCAAAATATAAATGAAGAGCAAAATAAAGGGTAGATAATAGTAGGAACTAGGGAATAGATCTTTTTGCAAGTGGGAAAGGGACCGAGAGATGGAGGGAGGAGAAAAGGAGGGAAAGGGGGTAAAAAAAGATTTAAGATGTGCTATGTTCATGTACCAACTTGCTAGAGGAATGTGATCATTACACACTATAAACACGTACTAATAAAAATTGGAAAAAATTATGAAAATATATAAAAGAATTGGAAAGTATATGGCAAAAAATAAAAGGTTTCAGAGGTAGGGCAATGCTAAGGTGCTCATTTTAATCCCTAGTACAGTCCTCCCTTCCCAAAATAAATCTCCCATTTGACTATCTGCTTAATTATGTATCTGTCTTTTTGAGTGTGTGTGTGTGTGTGTGTTGGTTTTTCGTTTTTTGAGACAGGGTCTTGCTATGTAGCCAGGCTTGCCTTGAACTCACAAAGATCCTTCTGCCTCAGCATGAGCCATTACACCTAGCTAAAGTGTTGTTTAGAAGCCCTCCAACTTCACTCCCAGAAGCAAATCAGTCCTGCTTTATCACAATCCAATGCACAGCGGATCCCATGTTGTAAAAATCTAGACATCTTCGAAGGTAAGAGGCCTAAGCCTGTTTGTTTTTTAATTGGGGGTTGTTTGCAAACAAGGTCAGAGAACTGTGGTATAGCAAGATTTTATTTTTAAAATTGGCACTTTTCACTCACTCAGCATGTCAACGTGTTTGGAACCTCATCCAAGATAACCCTGGGCACCTGAATTTACGCACAAGTTTTGGTTGCAGTTTTGCAATCGCTACGGGGCGGTCTGGGGCGGTCTGGGGCGGTCTTGGGCGGCCTCCATCCCTAGGCGGTGCGCCTACCACGCAGCGGTAACCGTGGGAAAAGCAGCCGGGCGAGGTCGTCCTCGGAACTAACGCACCGGCGCCAGCCTGTTCTGGGACTGCGTTTCTCGGAGCACCGGGGGGGCGGGGCGTGAGGAGAGGCCGCAGGCGCTGTGAGTGAGTTCGCAGGCGTAGACCATGCTGAGCGCTGCGTGCCGCGGGATCGCCTCAGTGCTGCGGGGAGCGCGCGCGCCGCCACCGCCACCGCTACCGCCACCGTTCCTCCGAAGGTGCTTGCGGGCGACAGGCTCTCCGTCCTTGGCGGGTCGGAGCGAGAGGGCGGAGGAGCCGCCTCGCACCTTCGACCCCGCGCTGCTGGAGTTCCTAGTGTGCCCTTTGTCCAAGAAGCCGCTCCGGTGAGGCTCGGGCTCGGCCGTGGGTGGCCTCGCGGCCTCTCCCTGTGGTCGCTCGCGATTCTCGGCCGCGCTCTGTGGACGCGGAAGCGGCCGAACTCCAGCCTGGATCCGGTTGCAGGGCTGCGGGGAGGTAGCTGAGCTCTTGTGGGTTTGCCCTTGGCTGCACTTGGTTCGCACCGGAGCGCTTAAAAAAATCCGGTTCCCATGGAGACGCCTTGCGCCCCAGTGTACTGATCCGCCTGCCTGGGGCAGGGCCTGTACTTTCTTGTTTAAAACGTCTCTTAAGTGACCAAGTTTAGGAACCACAGAGATTAAGGACAAGTCCAAAACACTCAAGGTTTTAAGCCAAGATGATGAAAAATATTTAGTAGCGTCCAGATTCTTGAAAAAGTGCCACGTACCACGGATGCCCGACAGTCTTGAGCATTGGCGTGCTGCCCATTGGCTTTTAGTCAAGCTGGCAGGGTTTTGTTAAAACCCCTCTAACGTTTAGGCTAGCTCTGCAGCTCTACAGTTCCAAGCTAAACTGAATATTGACACGAGTGTCACAGATTGCATAAAAACCAAAATGTTATCAGTGGTAATCTGGGTAATGGATGGCTAGCAATTTTTACAGTATATTATTCTTTTTCTAGTTTTCCCCTGTAATGTGTATATTAATTTTCTTTTCTTTTTTAAAAAACATCTTCACAAGGCACCATTTGGAATTATTTTATTTTATTTTAGTTTGGTACTGGGAATTGAACTCAGGTAGGTGTGGCACCACTGAGCTACATCCCCAGCCCCATACCTAATTTTCTTAAATGTTGAAATTACATTTACCGTATAACAGTTGTATAGCTAGCTCATTGCACACTCACTGCATTCCCAAGTTTCCTCATTTCTGCCCTCTCATCTTTCTCAAGCTTTTAGTTTGCATATTTTGATTTTTCACTGGTTTCCTTCTAATAGATGAATTAAGTTTATTACCTATGGAAGGAGGAAGTTGAGTTTTTAGTTTTTATTACAGTAGTAAATCAACTGGGAAGATTTTGGGGTTGACTATAACGATAAAGGTATATTTGGATAAAAAGATCTTTTCAGACTAGTAGGAAAAAATTAAGGCATAACTTGGGATTAAAGTGAAAAAGATAATTTGAGAGATAATGATGCTAATGGGAACAATTATATGAGAATCTCCTGAGAGAAATGTTTGAATTGGCTATTGCTGCTTTTAGAATCAACTGTTCTGGAATTAACTTTATATGAAGAATTGGATAAATGATGTTTTATATTGACCATCAGGTTCTTCTAAGCATTTTGTTTTCCACAATTCATTCCCCCCCCAGATATGAAGCATCAACAAATGAATTGATTAATGAAGAATTGGGAATAGCTTATCCGATCATTGATGGAATTCCTAATATGATACCACAAGCAGCTAGAACAACACATCAAAATAAGAAGCAAGAAGAAACAGAGCAGCACTGAATCATCATTTAAAAAACACAACTAGGTTTTAATACTATATACAATTTAAAACACGGTGGCAGGTAGTAAGTGGGGAAGAAGAATGTTTCTGTCTCTGCCTACACTGACTGTTCTTATTCCACTGATCTCCTTAGTAGGACTCTTCTACTCCGCCTCTGTGGAGGAAAACTTCCCACAGGGCTGCACTAGCACAGCCAGCCTTTGCTTTTACAGTCTGCTCTTGCCCATCACCATACCAGTGTATGTGTTCTTCCACCTCTGGACTTGGATGGGTATTAAGCTCTTCAGGCATAATTAATGCAGCCATAGCCAAGATGGTTTATGTATTAAGTCTTAAGCATCTGTCTCTGAAAGCTCATCTCGATGGACATACTGGAGACCCATTTAATTTGGAGGAAAGTTGCTTTGACTTGCTTAACTCAGGTTTAGGACTAAGATTTAAGCTACAGAAGCTTTGATTGTACTCTGTTCTGCCCCTTTTGAAGATTCTGACTGCTGTATTGGAGAAACATTTCAATAAAATGTCTTGATGGAGATTAACTCCCCTAATCATCATCTGAGGATTTTTCTTAACCTATTAATCTAAAACTTTAGTCATTTGTAATTTTGTTAGTTTAGCTTAAAGGTCAATGGGAAAGCCATATGTTAGGGATGACTCATTCTCAAAGTAGGTATATCAGAATAATTCTAGAGAAATGCATTTGAACTAGTGTGATCATAAAATGAAAATTTCATGTATTTATAAAATTTCTGTGTTTGCAAAAGTATCATCATTTCTTTGGCATCAAATGCACCCATTAATAAGATGACAGTTTCCCATAAAAAACTTGTTTTGCAGGTTTGGTTTGGTTTTGTCACAGAAGTATGGTACTAAGGGAGGGAAAATGTGAAAACATAAAAAGTGTAGAGGCTGGGGTGTGATAACTTAGTTGTATAGAGTTTGCTGAGCATTTTATAAGGCCTTGTTTGGGTTGATTCCTTGCATTGCAAAAAAAAAAAGTTTACAAGGCACTCAATGCCCCAAATAGAATCAGTTCCCAGGTAAATAGCATGTTTAATGGGTAAGGGTAAGAAAGAATGGGAAGACTTGCATGAAGCTGATTATGGTCCTGTTGAGCTTAGAGCCATGTTTTGAAGCACACTTGAGGTTTTAGCACTAATGAAGGCTTGAGCCTTGATTTTCTAGAATTTTCAACTGATTGAGCATGATATAGTAACCATTTATTTTTTCTGTTTTTTGATATAGGATCTTGCTATGTAATTCAGGCTGGCCTTGAATTCACTGTGTATCCTAGGCTGCCTCAAACTTGAGATGATCCTTCTGCTTCAGCCTTCTGAGTGCTGGGATTACAGGCATGTGCCACCACATCTGGCTGGTACAGTAATGCTTTCTGAAGTATAGCATAAATGTTTTAGTAGTTACCCTAGAGAAACCTAAGTATTGAATATAAATTTAATTGACTTTGTGTATATGTGCACATGCATGCCTGTGCATGCTTGGGATCTGCCCCATGCATGCTAGGCAGACAGTCTACCCCTGAGCTAAATCTCAGCCCAAAACTTAATTCTTCATTAACATCTTAAAGTAGTTTAATAGAAAATTTAGATTCTTTCCCATCAAGAGAAAGTTAAAACATGTGAGATGTACTTTCTATTGCCTTAAATTCAATATATACTAATAGTACAAAGCATTTTTTAAAGTTACTGGGCAAGGTAATAAGCTAGAAGAATGATAGAGTACCCAGTCATTTCCTGAAGAGGAACTCTTTTTAACCCTAAGTCCACGTTTAATTGCAAACTGTGGTCAGTGTAAATGAAACAATTTTATTAATAAGCACTGTATCCTGAGAAGTCAATTTAATCTTTTAGAAGTTAATCATTTTAACTCTTTCGAGGAAGTTGACAATATGCTCCCAAGGAAATGTAGTATTTAACTCTTCTTTAAGAGTCTAGTTAGCAATCACTTGTACAAACTGTACCGGGCACAGTTCATTGCATGTCACACATCGTCATCTTTTAATCTCATGACCTAAGGGGAACACCCCCCACCCCTATCCTTATGGGGAGGGGAGTGATTGAACCCAGCACGTTATACTAAAAAAGTGCTCCACCACTGAGCTACAGCCCTCACTTTTCACCTGGCTTGGCCTCTCAAGCAGCTGGGGTTATAGGTATGTATGCCCTGTGCAGATTAGAAGGAAGCATAGAGAAATTGATTTACCCAGCTAATAATTGGACTGAAATGCAACTATCTAGAAATCTGGTTTCAGTCTTTATTTCTGCAGTGTGCCTCTTCATTTTGAGTTAACTGTAAGAAAAACAGAATTAGGAACCAAAATGCTTAGATTCGAATTCTTACTGGACCAGGAAGTTACCTCCTCATTGTCTACAATACCATGTGCTTTAGCTAGCAGAAATAATTTCTAATGTTCTGTAGGACAATAGGGTGACTATAGTTCATGAGTAGTATATATTATATAAAGAACTAGAGGAATGTGAAGCAACCCAACACAAATGTTCATTATCCTGCTTTTATCATTATACATTGTATACATGTATCAAATTATACTGTACCCCATACATACGTATAATTATGTGTTAATTTAAAAAACCAGGCCAGGCATGGTGGCACACACCTGTAATTCCAGCACTCAGGAGGCTGAGGCAGGAGGATCACTGCAAGTTCAGGGCCAGTCTACACTACATAGCGAGTTCAAGGGCAGCCTTCACAAGGCAAGACCCTTTCTCAAAAACAAAAAACAAAACCAACACACTGCTTTATTCTAGTGCTTCACCTGTTTTTATTGCCTAGGGGTTTGTTTTTTGTCTTCCCTCTAAATAGTAAACTTGTTCAACATTTTTTAATGCTTAATAGGAAGTAGGCAACTATTTCCAGAGTGAACACATGACTGGTAAGCTTTATAACTTTAACCAAGTTACTTAACATCTTGGATCCTTATCTTGAGGGCTAGAAGTCCTTCCTCTATCATAAAATTGTGAAGACCAAATTAAATTTTACATGTGCAATACTATGTAAGAACTTCACAATTCTGACTTCTAGAATGGATTCTACAGTGTTAGGAGCTCTGCAGACCTGCTTCCCAGTGAAACAAGCCGAACTGGTGAAAATTGTAAGTCTTAAAATCTGACAAAGTTGTCACAAGGGCTTATAGCAACTGGAACATCTAAGAAAATGTAGTAAAACTTGGTAAAAAGAGAGAATCTGAACCACTAACCATCTCTCTGCTCCCTGTCTCAGCTCAGAGCGGTGGCTGCTTCAGAAGAAAGCAGCCAAGAACACAGGACTTGCTCCTTCCCAGCTCTTAGGTGAAGGTTATAGTTATCTTCTGGGAAGTGCAAGCCCCCAGATAGTTAAGGTAATTATGAAAAACTAGAAGAAATGCTTATATATTCTCCTTAACTGATTTGCAAAGCGACTATAGAAAATGCTATGTAATTATATTTGAGGTCTGTAACATATAACACACTTGGTATTAACAGCACACAGGAAGTGAATGAGCGAGGCCATATCTGGAGTAAGGAAATAAAAATAGAGGGTAACTTGAAGTCACAGGAATGTATGAACTAGTAAACAAATAAGAAAATATAATTAGTGCTATAAATACATAACTTGCTATTCTTTCTTTTCCTACTTTGAGTCTTAGTTACACATGCCTGAAATCCCAGCACTTAAGAGACAGGCAGAAGGATCACAAGTCTCAGACCAGCCTGGACTACATAGTGAGTTTGAGATCAACCTGAACTCCAAAGCAAGACCCTGTCTCAGAAACAAAACAACAAAATTATATAAAGTAACTAAGACAAAGTATTGTTTGGTGTGTAATATATAGATGTACTTTGCATGATAGTACAGAGAGTGAAGAAAGAATAGTTATATAAAAGTGATTTTTCTGTAACTTACCTGCACTATGAACAGATCTGTAGTTTTACTAGATCTCATAAATTCTCATGCTGCTGGTCAGAATATAAAATGCTACAACTTCTTAGGAAAACAGCCATAGTCCCCACAAGGTTAAGTATAGAATTACTGTTGGGCTTAGCAAATCTACCCCTATGTATATACTCCATAAATATGAAACCTATGTCCCTATATCCACATAAAGATTTGTGTGCAAATGTACACAGCAGCATCATTGATTAATAGCAAGGAAAAGTAAATCCAGTATCCATCAACTAATGAATGGATAGATGAAATGTAAGAAGACAATGAAATATTATTTGGCAAGTAACATGGATGAACCTTGAACATGTTATGCTAAGTGAAACACATCACATTGATTTCATTGGCATGAAATGTCCATTACAGGCAAATCTAAAGATGCAGATTGGGCCAGGGATTTAGCTCAGTGGTTCCGCCGCTTGCCTTGCAAGCGCAAGGTCCCGAGTTCTATCCCTGATACGCGGCCCCCCCCCCCAAAAGGATATAGATTAGCGGTTGCCTAGGGCTGAAGGTAAAGGTGAGATTGTGGAATTATACCTAAAGGGTACACGGCTTCTCTTTGGTGTAATGAAAATGTTAAGATTTGATCATGGTAATGGTTGTGTAATTGTGTGAATATACTAAAAACCATTGAGTTGTACACTTAACATAGCTGAATTACAGAGGTTTCTCCTTTTCTCCATATGTATAGGGGATACATGCTAAGAACTCTAGTGAATGCCTGAAACCCCAAGTAGTACTGAACCCTAGTATAGGGATAGTATGTGCTATTTTTTATAATACATTTGTACCTATAATAACATTTAATTTATAAATTAGGCACAGGTTAATAACTAATAATAAGATTAGAACAGTTACTGTAATTAAGTTATACGAATGTGGTCTCTCTTGAAAGAGTCAAAATAACCTGGATTGGATAGTATACATCTGTAATCCTAGAATTTTGGGAGCTGAAGCAGGAGGATCCCAAGTTTGAGCTTAGCCTGACCAACTTAGTGAAACCATGTCTCAAAAATATGCAAAAGAGCTGGAGATGTAACTCAGTGGATTCAATCCATTGGCCCTGGATTCAATCCTCAGCAACACAAGTGCGCGCGTGCACACACACACACACACACACACACACACATGTGCACACAGTCAAAACAATGATTTTAGGGCTGTTGACCACAGGTAACCACATCTATGGGAAGTGGAGACTACTACATCTATACCAGTGGCACCTATGGCATATGTGTGACACCTTTGTATCACTGAAAGCTCTAAAAGTTTTGCCATCATGGATCTGTACTACTGTAAATTATATCTCAATAAAGCTACAAAAATAATTTTAAAAAGTAGTATCTAAATGTCTAGCCTAAGGCTCACTGGTTCCAGGTTTCCTGCTGATTACAGCATAGTCACAAGCAGAATTCAGTCCTTAAACCTTCAATATTTTGTCCACAGTTGTGCTACTTTGCATGCCTCTGTCAGATGTGACACCCTTTCTTGCGAATTCAACACATTTCTAATGTTCCTCTCCCAAGTTCCTCATAGCAACCCATCCCAACTTCCTGCCTGTTGATGGGAATTCGCCTTTACTAGGTTCCCATAC